CGGCGGCGGCCCCGACTCACGCGGCTGCTCCTGCTGCCCGCGCCGTCGGCGCCCGCCGCCTCTATGAACGCCAGGTAGCTGTCCCAGAGCGGCTTCACCGAGTAAGCAATGTCCGTGTCTGCGGGCAGGCCGGTGGGGCCAGGCCAGGCCTTTCAGCAGCAGTGCTACCACTTGATGGCAGCAGGAGACCACCACCATGGTCCCTCCACCTCCTCCACCACCACTACCAAGGGCTGCAAGAGAAGCAGGAGCCGCAGCAGGGAGCGCAGCGGCAGCAGGAAGCCAGCAGCGCCAGCAGGAAGCACAGCGCCAGCAGCAGCCGCCCGCCCGCACCGCGGTCAATCAACCACCTGCCCGCACCCCCAGCACTCGCTTGCGCCTCACCCGCCACCATCACCACATGCCCCAGCTGCAGCGCCCGCAGCACCGCCGCCGCCTTGAGCCACATGAGCGCCACAAAGTCGTGCGGGGTGGGCTTCTCGCGCCCGCCTGCAGGCACGCAGAGGCGCAGGGCAGGGCCAGCAGCCAGGCGGGCAGCGCTTGCGGGGCCGGCTGGAAGCGGGGGTGTCCTGCCAGCCGGGGCCACCGCCGCTCGCTAGGGGCCCACAGCGCAGCAACAACCGACAACCCCCAGCCCAGCAGCACCAGCAGGCCAGCACCGCCTGCAGGCCCGCAGAGGCCGGCCGCCGCCGCCGCTCCTCACTAAGGGGCGCAACCAGCAGGCCCGTGGCATTTGCGCAGGGCAGGTTGAGGTCGGCGCAGGCCGCCAGGTCAGCGGCTGTCCATGTGAGCGCCAGGTAATTCCTGACCCCGGCGTGCCGCACCAGAGAGAAGACTGCGGGGCAGGGGGGCGGGAAACCTGGGGGATTGAGTGGCGGAGATTGTGTGATGGAGGTGGTGGTGCGGGGAGATGGGTGCCCTGTGTGTGTCTGTAGTGAGCGCCCTGCCCTCCCACACAGCCAGCAGCCAGCAGCCAGCCAGACCCCTTCCGGGGCACAGCCCGCCCGCCAACCGATAAGCTCACTGCTGTTCTGTGCCATGACGGCGAAGCGGCGGTTGAAGAGCAGCAGCGCCACGCCGCTGGTGTGGTTGCCCACGGGCGCCGCCCGCAGAGCCAGCAGCTCCTCCAGGCCGTGCACCCCGGCGTACGGCAGCGCCGCGCTGCGCGGCGGCAGCAGCCAGGGCGCCGCCTCAAACTGGGCCAGCAGGGCGGGCCCTTCCCTGCCGCCCAGCAGCCCTGGGTCTGCCTGGAACCAGAGGGAGGGTAGTCCGATGGGATGGACCGCCAGCAGGCAGGCTGGCAGGCAGGCAGCGACAAGTAGGCAGGTATGGGGCCCGCGTGCTTGACATGAAGGGCACCTGCCCCCACCTGTATTCGGCGGAAGGCGGCCAGGCTCGGCGCCGGCACTGCGCTGCCGGCTGGCCGCTCCCCTGCAACACAAGAAGCCAGGCTGCCTGTTGACACCATCCCCACGATGGAAGGCAGCCAGGAGGACAGCACCGGGGCAGGAACACAGCTCGGGAAGTTGGGCGGCGCACTCACCGCTGCCCCTGTCGGAGCGGCGCCACTGGTGGAGCACCGCGCCGCGGGCCCTGCGCACCCCAGCGAGACATATGGAGTCAGTAGCAGGCGATTGCGATTGCTACAAGCAGCCAGGAGGTCCCCAGGGCCAACCGCACGTCGCGGCTCCACACTTCACCCGCCAGACACCGTCAGCGCCCCCAGAAGAAATCCGGCGATGCATGCAACGATGATGTGGGAGTGTCGGATGTACCAGGGCACAGCCCGATTGGCGGTGGCCACCTGCACAAACATGGTGGGCCCTGCTCGCCAAACGCAGCATCAGGGACACGTCGGCATTGATCAGGGGGCAGGGAGGATCGCCATGAGCTGGTTACGCTTGGCCCACTGCTACAACCACCCGCCGCCACAGCGCACGCAGCGGCGGGCGGGAGAACAGGCACTCAAGGCGTGCCTCCCTGCCCTTTGTCCTTCCTTATAGCTGCCCACACGATGCGATTCATGGAAGAAAAAAACGATCGACACCTTCAAGTGGATGTATCAATGACTGGGCAGAGCTCTGGGCAGAGCTCGAGCCGCCCTGGCAGTGCGCCCATCCACACAGCCCTCCTCATTCCATGCAGCCTGTGCCAACTTCAACAGCAGGGCCTGATGCCCCATGCAACGGTGTGCCATGAATGCTGTACTGACTGCTGGCAGTGACGCAAAAACAGGCAGGTGTGCTGAGAGAGTCAAAGCTGCACCAGGACAAGGAAAGGCGCGCTACTTGCATGCCGAGGCGCGCGGCGCCTGGCTCGGCTGGTCCTGAAATGAAATCACTGGCCAGGTGGCGGCGGCGCCGCCTGTATGATGGTTGCGACGGCGCCCCACAAGCCCCTCTGCGCCAGCATGCTAATCGCCTCCTGCTTTGCCCGCTCCCGCTCCTGCTGGGCCCGCTCCCGCTGCTGCTGGGCACGCTCCCACTCCTGCTGGGCACGCTGCTGGCTGAGGAAGTAGCTTCCAATCAGCTCCTGCGTCAGGCCGGCAGCTTCTGCTCCCGGCTGGCCTGCAGCAGCAGCCAGCTGCTCCAGCAGCTGTAGGTGGCTGCCTGTTTGGCTGGCAGCAGCAGCCGCGGCTGCATCGGCGGAGCCGGGCACAGTGGCAGGGGCACCCCTGCCGGCAACAGCGGGACCAGCAGGTGCAGCTGGGGTCGCTGGGGCAGCCTGCGGGGGGGCGGCTGCAGAACGGGATGGTCCCGCGGGGCTGACGTTTGTGGCTGGCGGCACGCCTGCCGCAGCCGCTCGCC